ATTATGAAGCGGGGAATTATAGCAACAACTATTGAAATTCAAATTATTAGCCAAATGTTAACTATCTGTTAACAATTTCGCTACTAATACTAACTAAACTTTTATGTTTTGAAGTTATAAACTAAAAGCATTCCTACGTGGCCGATGACGTCAAAAAATCAATAACAGTAACAGACAGTTAGCCATATCTTGACCTGCAACAATAGTTATGGCTAATAATTTGAATTTTCATAGTTGTGGCTATAATTCCCCGCTTCATAATAGTTGTGGCTAATATATTGTATTAACCCAAAAAAATATTAACACCATAAAAAAACAACAACAACAAGAAAACAGAGGACCCAAATTGCCAACATGGAACTCAGCTCAACTTCACTTTCGTGCTTTCATGCTACACTAAGACTTAAAATGCAAAAAGGTACAACACGAAATATTTCGATTGCAGTCAATATAAGAAAAATTGAATTGAAGCTTTCTCTTGGCTCTACGGGAATATTATCCTCATCACAAGAAGACGAGTTTTTTTTCCATAAATAGCACCTTTAGAAAAAATTACAAAACTAGCACCCTTACAAAAATATTTACAAAACTAGCACCCTTTTTTTTGGACCGCACCCTTGTGGTGCGTTTTATATATAAACCGCACCTGTAGGGTGCGGTCCATTTTCATAAAGATGGAGGGAAAAGATGGGGTATTGCCACAACCAACTCAAGTGAGAGTATCAACTCTGTCTACAAGGTCGTTCGTGCACTGCCAATCTCTGCCATTATGGAGATGACTTTTTGGAAAACGAATGCATGGTTCGTGAACAGACTCCACTGGGCAAGGACGAACGAGGCACAGGGAAAGGTCCATGCCTATAAAGTCATTGAAATAATGTATAATGACAATCGCAAGAGCAGTCGACATAGTGTAACCGTTATGAATCGGGCCATTGCTGATGAGGGCGATTCCATGGGTTGAACTCGTGTTGGCCTGTCGTGGAGGAGCCATCATGCCAAGTCCCAGATGATGTTTGGCGGGGAGATGGGGGGTAGAGAGGGCGGGAATTGTAGTATGTTTGGCGGGGATCATTGTATGAGATCGGGGTGGGATCATATGGGGATTGGTGGAAACTCTGAGAGGATTGATGGTAGGTCGAGCGGGGATCGTAGTATGAGCTTTGGTGGGGATCGTTGTGGTAGGATGGGCGGAATTCTTGGGATGAAGTCGGGTCGTCATCTTGGGATGAAGTCGGGCGGGGAGATGGGGCGGAGGACGGGCGGGGAGCTTGGGTGGAACTCGGTCCGGCACCTTGGGTGGAACTTGGTCCGGCACCATGTGTCACAACCAATGGGGGCGACACTTTCCACCCCCCATATGGCGTTACGTCGGGCACGTTGGGCCTTTCCCCAACCCTCTTGCTCTTCTTTCTCTCGTATGGTGGTGGGGGTGCGGGGACATCAAGTTGTACCGGAGGTGGTGGGGGTGCGGGCGCGGGCGGATATCTACGATGATCCCGGCCCTGAGCTCTGATACAGCCAAGTAGACTGTTTGCCATCCTCCTGATGAAGCTCACATCTTCATTGCCAACTCAGTTCTTCCGGTAGTCATATCTTTGATCCGCTCGACCCCATCAGCCTAAATCACAAAAAAAAAGTTAGAAAGAGAATTAGGAACCAAGTAATAAATCATAGTATGTTAGACTGGTTATACTTACTAATGCACCATCGGCCGCACCCTCCGGAGTCATGTAACGAACCGATGTTTGCCGATATCGATCCAAGTATGGGTCATGATACCCCATTCGGCTCACTTGATTTGGAGTGACAATATCCTGTAATTGTCGGTTCTCCCAAATCGCGATAAATTCCTTCAACTTCGGGGGCCAATCGCGAGTACCTTGCCGACCATCTCGGCCATGGAAGGCCCTTTGACTATCGGGGACCTCCAACGGAATGCACTGCTCCCGACCAAACTGACGGAGGCATCGATCCGGCAAGTGTCACTCCACGGTCCCAAAACAAATTAGAGGAACCCTCGTGCACCATCGCCCGATATGACTGGGGAATTGCTGGAGATGCCATTGAACGATGTTCTCCGGGTATGGATCGAAGACGATCTACAAGAAATAAATGAGTAATGTAAGATTAATTAATTAGAAAAATACATGTAGTCTAATGAAAAAAAAATATAAATGGATCGCAGTATAGAAGTGACCTCTCCTTCCCAAAGCCGCTCAAACCTCCTCCGATACTCGTCCAACTTGTGTTGGACAAGGTTGTCGCATGTGGTGTGTCCGAGCTACCTTATTAATAAGACAATAATGAAACTACAATAAGATAAAACACAAGGGAAAATGTGTTATGACTACATGATGGGGTATGAGAAGTTTACCTTGTACCATAAGCTTCACCTCTTAGGGGATGATCGATTGGCCAATCCCTGTCTGGACGTTGGTCCGGTGCAATCCATGGCATATGCTCCCAAGCCCAAAATTGGACGATGAACATTGCGCCGCTGACCTCCCTCACAACTTTTTGAGACGCATTGCACAAGTTGTGGTAGATCATAGCTAGGCAAGCGGATGCCCAACTATACTCCTCCATCTCCTCCCAACTACTGAAGATGATCCTAAGCCATCCACAACTAAGGAGATTGCTTGATTTCTTGGAGAAGAACACTCCTCCGATCATGCCTATGAGATAGACACGAGCATATCTCTCCTTCTCATCCTCCGGCCTTTCCTCGGTTAGGGGATGACTCTCGTAATGGTCTCTAAAATACTTCGTCAACCATGTAATTGAGACTTGGTGTTTCCTCATTGGTGGCATGCGATCGGTCGCATCAACGCAACCCTTCACCGGTACTTTCACTCCCAAATGACTGTGGATGAAATGCTGCCAACCGGGCATACCGTCACGATCCTCGGGGGGATGATCACTCACGCACACCGATTTGCCGTCGATGGGCAGATGGGTTAGGATGGCGACATCCTTTAGCGTGATGGTGGCCTCTCCTTCTCTAAAGTTGAAACAATGGGTCTCCTTTCTCCATCTCTCGGCTAATGCGGTGATGAGTTGGCGATCAATTTGGATGTCGTTAAAATGCCTAATCGAGTCTAACCGTGCCCTTTTGAGAAAGGGCAAGATAGCTGGGTGGAATGGGAGCACATTGGTGGTACCCCTGTAGCGGATTATTGTTTGTGCCTCCTAGCAAAAATTTACACGTTAATTATTATATATTAGTAAGGTTTTTTTTCTTATAACTAAATTAATTAAATTAAATTATGCGACATCAAGCAGAATTTTATTATCATAAAAAGACATTTCATATTATCATATTATCATAAAACAAACATCCTAAATTAATTAACATAATAACATTGTCAATGAATAATAATTTAAAGAGGTACATACATATTATCGTAAAACAAACATACTAAATTAATTAACATAAATAACATTGTTAATGAATAATAATTTAAATAGAAACATACATATTCAAATGTTTGAAATTAATAAAATTCTTTTTGTGCACGTAAAAATAAATCGTATTGGTTGTTTGGTAAATAATTTAATCGTATTGGTTGTTTTAAATAATTTAATCGAATACAAAGCAACACTCGTTAGACTCTTAGAAGAGGTATACATCTTCTTAGAAACGCAATCTTTTTGACAGAAAAAGGGGGATCCGAGGATCTCTTAATACCCGATTTTCCCAGGTAATGGGAGGATATGATAATCGCTTAAAACCCCATTTCCTTAGACGTGCATCTCTTTATAAAGAGTCGAAGTAAGTGGCGCTATGTATTCGATTAAATTATTGAAAACCACCAACACGATTAAAAAATAAACATAAATTTATTTTATATTACACTAGGCACATTAACAAAATAAAAGAAGGACAAATGGTGAAGAATTGTATGTACCGGTTGATTGTTCCAATCATCCCTTGACCGATGGTTGGGTTGGTCGTACAAGTCGGTTGGATCCAACGGTCCTTGCTCGAGATAATACCGTTGGTTGTATATATCGACGTCCTCCCCAACCTACGAGAAAATAACAACGAGGTTAGTACATAGATTAATTAAAAAACTTATAACAACAACAAAAATTAAACCAGAATAATGAGTACATACCGCTTGAAATTCATCAACATAAACTCCTTCTCCTTGCCACCAATCGGCCATTTTTTCGGCGCAATTCGGACAGAGCTTCGGCTCGGCGGGTTTTGAGGAAAAAACCTAAGAAATGTTTTCTGTTGGCAGATCGGACTTAGCCGCAACCAAGCGATCAGAGAAAAAACCTAAGAAATGTTTTAGAGAGATAAATTGTAGAGAGAGAAGGAAGAATGGGTTGTGGTGTGAATAAATGAGAGGGGAAGGGGGGGTATTTATACCCATCAAACCGCACCCTCCAGGGGCGGTCGGGTAATTTTTCCCTAAGGGAAACCGCACCCTCTCGATGCGTTTTGCGCTTCCCTAGGGTTGACCGCATCTCGGGCGTGCGATCTGCATTCCTTGGCGCGGATCGCTCCGCTGGCAAGCGTTCAGCCGCCCGATCGCACCTCCATCCAACGGTCTTGAAGACCGTTCCGCAGCAGCAGTAAATCGCACCCCCCAAGTGCGTTTTCTGATCTGGAACGCACCCCTATGATGCGTTTTATAAGTAAAACGCACCCTTCTGGTGCGGTTTACTTATAAAACACATCTTAGGGGTGCGTTCCAAAAAAAGTAGTGCTATTTCTGTCAATTTTTTCATATGGGTGCTAGTTTTGTAATTTTTTTTAAAGGTGCTATTATTGAAAAAAACTCTCACAAGACCTCAGATTTGTGTAGTTCAAAAAGAATATACTTTTCGGCTCTTCCTAATCCAACCAAGAGGTTTATGCGCAATTTTAATCATTACCTATTTAGTCATAATTGATGCAAATCAATAATTGAAACAAGCAAATACCAAATCCTATATACCTCTTACAATCATCGACATTGATCAAGTGATTCACCTCCCGCTTCTCCTCAGCGCACACAACAAGCACGAAATTCATCTCCGTCTTCAGTTTCAAAGCTTGCAGACTTCGCCTCCGTGCTAGAGGCCGACAGCGCAACCGAGAGAGACTTCGCCGAAAACCTAAACAAAAACAGAGAGAAAGCGAAAATCAAATGCAGGAGTTCTAACCAGCGGACGAGAATGAAAAGATGGGGAACCAGAGGGACGGGTAATGGCGTTCGGAACTGGATTTCTTGAAGCTCAAACTCCCGTCGGAAGAGGAGATATAGCCGAACACGATGGTTCATCTGAGTAGATCTAATATAGATCTAAGTTTCAAACTGTAGAGATCAGAGAAAGAGAGGCAAAGACCATGATTTTTCTCGGGGATTGGGGGTCTCGCCTATTACGATCTTAGGGTTCGGAGAAAGGAAATTGTTCCATTCCATCGCGGAACTGATGAGCTCGGGATCCAATTTTCCCCTCATCATGCTTTATTTTTGTACAAAATTGTGTTCAAAGAAAAAATAGAAATATAATTTAAACGGTTGGGCTTCTCAACGGGTGTAATAACCACTGGAGGATTTGCTGCCAAAGGTATACATAACAAAAGCCCAGCAGAGGTTAGGGGAACCACAGAAAGGAAAGCCCTGGGCTAGGCCCATTTCTTTGTAGTCGACTAGACAGCATTGGAATCATGGTTGGCTAGTTTCCTATGTCTCTTCCTCTCGAGACAACTATGTTGTTTTCATGCGTTCACCCGTTTCCTTGAAGAAAAGGGATCAATCGGCTTCTCTCTCTCTCTCTCTCTCTCTCTCTCTCTCTCTCTCTCTCTCTCTCTCTCTCTCTCTCTCTCTCTCTCTCTCTCTCTCTCTCTCTCTCTCTCTCTCAATGCTAAATCATTGATTCATGGTGGAGCATTAACGTACTGGTGGCTCTATATAAATAACAACATATATATATCATTTATCAAAATCACATCTCCTGACAAAATGGCACTTATATATCTTCTCCTCCTCCCAATCTCCATCACCATCCTTGTCGTCATCACCGTTTCACGATTTCTCACCAGCTCTGCAGCTTCCAAACACCGCTCACCGCCGCTGCCTCCAGGCCCTAAGCCATTGCCGATCATCGGAAACCTCCCTCACCTTGGCAAGCAAGCTCACATCTCCCTCCAACACTTCTCCCAGCTGTACGGCCCTCTCATCTCCCTCCGCCTCGGCTCCCAGCTCCTTGTCGTCGCCTCTTCCCCCGCGGCAGCCGCCGAAATCTTGAGAACCCATGACCGCCTGCTCTCCGCTAGATACGTCTCCACAGGCCTGCCATACGACATGATGGAGCTCGACCGCAAGGCCATTGTTTGGGCTTCCAACTGCAGCAACGACCAGTGGAAGGCCTTCCGAGCAATGTTCAGGAACCAGATCTTCTCGACCAAGGCCATCGAATCTCAGGCCGCCGCCAGGGAGAGGAAAGCTGCCGAGATGGTGAGATTTCTCGAGGGGAAGTTGGGGGAGTCGGTTAGTATCGGCGAACTGGTTTTCGCTGCTATATTTGACTCGCTGTCAAATCTCATGTTGTCGCGAGATTGCATAGGGTTCGAGAGTAGCGAGACAGCCAATCGATTGAAGTCACTGATTTGGAGGATGATGGAATTGGGGACTTCTCCTAATCTCGCCGAATTCTTTCCAATTCTGAAGAAATGGGATCCCCAGGGGCTGAGACGTGAGACGTTTCGTTGTTGCAATGAGCTCTACTCCGTTTGGCAGCCCTACGTCAAAGAGAGGCGAGAGCGCCGGCAGGGAGAGCGATATGGTGCTCAAGACTTCTTGGATATTTTCCTGGAAAATGGACTCGATGATGACCAGATTGACTGGTTGAGTCTCGTAAGTTCACAAGGAAAAAGAAAGAACAAAAATTTCAATCCAATTTTGTGCTTAGCGACAAGAACTAGTTAGTCCCAACAACTCACTACCCGAAAATCAGCCTACGGTTAATATTGGGAGTCGTGCAGATTTGAACAAATGACATTTTGGTCAAACTAACTCTGATACCATGTCCAGAAGCAGTTAGTCCCAATAACTCAACTTGTTGGGAGAAGGTTATTCTAGATCTTATACCACTCTCTTACAAGCTTGAGTTTAGCTTTTCCCATTGTTTTTCTTGCAGGAACTGTTCATGGCCGGTACAGACACTAACACGACTGCAATAGAATGGGCCATGACAGAGTTGATTCGAAACAAGGGAGCGATGAACAAGCTGCGGGAGGAGCTCAACGCAGAATTGTCGCTGCCGCTCGAGAGAAAATCGTTGATCGACGAATCTGCAGTGTCTCGGCTTCCGTACTTGAATGCAATCGTGAAGGAGACACTGAGGCTACACCCGCCGGGGCCGCTCATGCTGCCGCACCGCGCTTCGGAGACTTGCTAGGTGATGAATTGCACGGTCCCTGAAGGGGCTAAGATTTTTGTCAACGTGTGGGCAATTTCAAGGGATCCGACAGTGTGGGAGGATGATCCAACGTCGTTCAAGCCAGAGAGGTTTATTGGGTCGAAGGTGGATTTTAGAGGGCATGATTTCGAGTTTCTGCCATTTGGTGCTGGGAGGAGGATGTGTCCCGGAGTGCCGTTGGCCACCAGACAGATTTCGTTGATTTTGGCTGCTTTCGTTCGAAACTTCGATTGGTGCCTCCCCGATGGAAAAGATCCAGCGGAGCTGGATATGAGTGAGAAGTTTGGGTTCACGTTGCAAAAGGAACAACCTCTGCTTCTTGTTCCCAACCGGTGTTCAATATGAGATCTTCAATTAATATTGGTTTGGGTGCTACGAGTCATTCCATGTAGTTACCAAAAGAGAGTCCATATATGAAACTAATCACGAGGCAGGCTCGTGAGAATATGTTTGCATGTTATCAGCCAGATGAACGTCGGAATGCCCTTAACATGAAGTTTATTAAGTACGACATACTAATTGACTTTAATATATGAAACTAATCACGAGGCCGGGTCCCAATTATTGAAGCTGCGTGACAAGTCGGTAATATTATTATCAAATTAAATTTTGCTACTTTATAGTTCACTTCCATCTTGTTAGAGGTTAGAGTGTTAACTTCATAAAAGTTAGCACCGTGCTAACTACTCTAATCATCTTTCATTTTTTTATGTTCAATCTGATCGTGGATGGTAATGAAGGACATATTTGAAATTTCACAAAATTAAAAATAATAAATCTACTAAAATATAAAATATATTCTCTCTTTGCCATTTTATACGATAAAAAACACTACTAAATTCGCTACTACTTAGTCGTTTGGCTGATAGTAGTAATTTTATGATTTTTAGTTGCCAGTGACGGACAATTTTGGAGGTTGACTATAGTACTTTTTTAGAGTGTACGTAGTGATTCTCATGTAATTATTAATGTCTTGACAATTTTATATTTGTAGCAATTGACAATTTTTAACTAGAATCACTACCACAAATTACGAAAAATTCTACCAATCAATGGGAAAGATCCAGCGGAGCTGGATATGAGTGAGAAGTTTGGGTTCAGGTTGCAAAAGGAACAACCTCTGCTTCTTGTTCCCAACCGGTGTTCATTATGAGATCTTCAAATAATATTGGTTTGGGTGCTACGAATCATTCCATGTAGTTATCAAAAGAGAGTCCATATATGAAACTAATCACAAGGCAGGCTTGTGAGAATATGTTTGTATGTTATCAGCCAGATGAACGTCGGAATGCCCTTAACATGAAGTTTATTAAGTACGACATACTAATCGACTTTAATATATGCATTCATGAAAAGTTGAATTTTCGACATTGTGAAAAGCTTTTTAATTATCATCGTAGATCTCGATTTCTTGAAAGTTAAAACTAAAAAAAAATCTGATAAAGTGGGAGAATTAATGTAATAGTTGGTCAATAACAATTAGACAATTTGTCGCATATAAACGGTCCTATCCTTGGAACAACAAAATGACAAATCTATGACAGAAAAAAAAAGACAAATCAAGCTTACTTCGTAATGTTCTTAGGCTGGTGTTGGTTGTGACTGTTCTGTGTACCTCTATAAACGAAGCCAAGTACGATAGCATTGTTCGCTACTGTAAATCAGGCCGGGTCCCAATTATTGAAGTTGCGTGACAAGTCGGTAATATTATTATCAAATCAAATTTTGCTACTTTATAGTTCACTTCCTTCTTGTTAGAGGTTAGAGTGTTAACTTTATAAAAGTTAGCACCGTGCTAACTACTCTAATCAGCTTCTATTTTTTTATGTTCAATCTTATCGTGGATGGTAATGAAGGACATATTTGAAATTTCACAAAATTAAAAATAATAAATCTACTAAAATATATTCTATCTCTTAGCCATTTTATACGAGAAAAAACACTACTAAATTCGCTACTACTTAGTAGTTTGGCTGATATTAGTGATTTTATGATTTTTATTTGCCAGTGACGGACAATTTTGGAGGTTGACTGTAGTACTTTTTTAGAGTGTACGTAGTGATTCTCATATAATTATTAATGTCTTGACAATTTTGTATTTGTAGCAATTGACAATTTTTTTTTAATAAGGGTGATATAGGTTTACTTTTTGTGATTAGGTAGGTACTATTGAAGGGATTTGAACCTGGGTCCTCTAGGTTCAAAGCTAGTGGTATTACCACTAAACCAAACCCAATTGACAAATTTTAACTAGAATCACTACCACAAATTACAAAAAATTCTACCAACCAAAAAAACTACTAACATAACTAGAAAACACTATCATCATAAAATCTTTACAGGCCAAAACTGTTGCCAATAGGGGTAGGCAACCGGTTCAGTAAACATGGACCGAAACCGAATTGGTGTTGTTCGGTTCGGAATTCGAAAGCCAAAACCCTTTATTTCGGGAACCAGGGGTATACAGACCGAAACCGAATTCCGATCAACCGAACAAAAAATTTAACCCAATCCTACAACCCAACTAACTACTCAACCTCTAACAACCCAATTCTCACCGAACCCAAAAATAAATATCTCACAAGTCACAACCCAAATCAAATAGAGCCCAAAGAAAAATCCCTCAAGCCCACAACCCTTTCATACCTATTGCTAACCAAAACCTAACAAAGAAGACCAAAAACCCAAACATCACCGCCGCCAACGACCATCAAGCATTACCGTCGTCCACCGAATCCTCCTATCATCTCTTGGCCTTGCCGCAAACTTCTCCTCTACGGGTCGATGCCATTTCCCCTCTCTCCGATCTCTTCTCCTCCCTGAGACCAGAAACCCAAATTCAAACATAAAACCCCAAATGCATCAAAATCAATATTGAAAATCAAAGCTTTCTTCTCCTGAATCGAAAAGAGCGATGATGCTACTGAAACTCGAAGGTGGAAATCCAACAGAAAAATGACATGCATGCTTAGATCAACACTCATACTGACCTCAAACATTCAATCGTCATGCCCGCTTGTCGCCGCGTTGTGTTATGACTTCCGCATCAATCGCCATTGCCCTTGAGTCGCCAGACGGACTGACGGAGGAGATACTACCGC